TTGAGAGCAACACTCCACATAAACTGTGTAAATTATTGTTATGAAAGAAATAGAGTGAAGTTGATGCGCAGAAAACACTTTACAAATTGAGACATATGAGTTGTTGCAGAGACGCCCCAGCAGCTGAAGTCTACATTTATCTATATAGCAAACCATGCTCCAAAGTCCTAGATTAGCAATAGTGGGGGAACGTTTGTCAAAACCTTGTACAATCCTTGTAAAGTAACGCTGGGTGCTTTCACCTAATTCAAGATCTTTACCATGCAGAGGAGGTAGTAATTCACATCCATAAAAACTTGTTGTTAAGATCATTCTTTTCCATATCTCAATACTTGCATTCTGATGTAAGTCACTACTATTTAGACCAACAGAGAGGAGTGACGTTAGTACGCCTTGCTTTTGTGCACCTCTCTTCAATATATAATTTGAAAGAAAGATTACTTTGTAGAACAACACCCGCATATTTTACATTACCCATGTGATTATTATAATACGTCACACTATGGACGTGATAACCATGTGATTATTGGAATACTTAACAGTACGACGTTTACTAAATGTTTTACTGTATATTTCGTGAAAGGTTAAAGTAGAAATAAAGTATTATTATAATGTATGCTCATCTCAACATTCATGCTGTTATCCTAAAGCTGTTTATAATTGTTCTGTTATGATTCATATTCAAATGTTTATATACAATCGTGTCCCCCTGAATATTAATGTCATTACTTTAGTCATTTGCCAATGTGATTATTGGAATACATCACAATTCGGCAATGATACTAATTCTGCATAAATTTGCTCCATGTTTTACTGTATTTGTCGTGAAAGGTAAAAGGAGAAATATTAATGGTATGTTCACCCTAGCACTGTTTATATGTCCATAGTTTAACAGAGTTGCTGAATTATAAATAGTAGCAACAAATGTAACATATTGTTGAGTTACACGCTACAAATGCCAAACTTACTTCATCTGTTCATGCAGTGTCAGAACGAGGGGCAAACATGCAATTGGATGAATGGTAACACCTGCTGCAATGGCTTGACGTGTCAGTCGGGTTTGGGTAACATTCAAATATGCAAGAGGAACATTGGCGGCGGTATTGGTGGCGGTATTGGCGGAGGTATGGGGGTAAGTTAACGTGCCAGACATCGACTACTGCCATGGGATAAGATTTTAAATTAGAAAATGTAGAACTGAACTATATCCGTGTAAATGTAACTATACACATGTTCCCTATACCCATGATCACAAGTGGTCTGGACAGAAAGAATATTGGTGGAATATTTTACATGTATTATTCTCTTTAACTGTGATTGGATGCAAATTAGTATAATTCATGTGTCATTTCTACCTACATAACATATGTCCAAAGAAATGAGCATTGCCATTACATGCTCGACAGCATACATATACAATGCAGTTACCATTTAGTTCTGTCAGAATCATCGTTTCATGGGCTTTCCAATTCATATTCTCAAACATGATTATTTTGACTATCAGCTCATGCCTGTCGTATCACACGCAATGTGATTTGTGATACTCAGAGCAATGTGCTATTGATGTACGTAGATGATATTTTTCATGTAGAGGTGTAAATGTATTCTTCTATATTTTACAGTGTCGTCTCCGTAACGACGAATGCATGATAAACGGCATAGGTGCCATGAGATGTTGTGCATCCTTCCGCTGTATGCCTGGATACATGAACAGGATGACTTGTCAGTAGATGCACACTAATTTTTTGACATCCCTGTGCCCCGTGTGCACGGATTGCTTGACAATAAAAGTGATTTCAAATATTATATATGTGTTTGTGTTGTTCAATGTATAAATGTAGCTACTGTTAAATGAATATATATCCTGCTGAATGGACAACGTCTAAGACCTGCATCAGATCTGACTTTCCTCCCACATCAAGCTGAGACGGCATTATATCTAACTGGCCTTAAAGCAAATTTATTCTCTTAATCTCTGCAGATGAGATACATTACTCGTTATTGCAATGTAATATTGACTTTTGTTCAACGAACTCAACGAACGAATTGTAAAAACGTTTCAAAAGTTTATTGCCCCAACACAAAGGTTATTTTGGACACAATTAACTATATTTTCTAAAATAATTCTGTTTTAGCACTTGTGTTGTATTCGACAGAAAATGTGTTTGAAAGAAAGGAGAAAAAATCCACTTCACATTCTTCCGAGCAGTGTTTTGGCTATAGTTATGGAGAAAGTCGTCAGTCGTTATTTTCATTCCACAGACACCAATACGCATTCTAAGGGACGAAACATGTAAGGCTTCACTTTTGTTTTGATGTCAGCACAGATTAAAACGGCATCAAGATACCCTAGTCAGCCTTGACATAATGATTCATGAGAAGATTAAGTTGTAAAATCCAAATAATCATAATTATGAAAATATAAGCGACAACACCCTTCCATATTCATAAGAAATATCTGCCCAGAACAGAGTCGTTTGTAGGATTCCAACTGTATCATGAGAAATTCATTTAGGAAGTAATATGATCACACGTTAACTTTTGTAAGTTAATGTATAGTCTTATAATTAAAACACTGAACGATTGTTGTTAATTATAATACACACTTCTATCCAGATGTATTACACCATTAAAATCAATCAGTATTAAAATATGTAATAGATTAATGTTTTCAGCAAAAGTCAAATAGTCATCCATTGGGATTAGACATAAATGAATTATATACATATTGAGGGAGTGGTATCAGCAACATTTCATCAGTTACACAGTGAGACAGATCCTTCACACCATTTGCATGAACATGTATCCATACTGAGTATCACCCATGTGCCCATGTGCTGTGGCAAAGATTTTCCCTACTTACATGTCAAACCATTTGCCCATTATGTGAACAGAGTTAGGAGAATTCATAATTGAAATGGGCATTTTAATTTCCATTCTAAAATTGTTTGAGATGAATCAAAGGAGAAACTACAGAACACAAAATATATATTCAATGTGACAGGTGATTCGCCAAATGATGACTATAATAGAACTTTTGTTGAATACATGAATTACATAATTCGTTTTGCAGTGATATATTCTGATGACAAATTGACAAACTTTGCACTCGTTGCGCTAATAATGTAAACTTCAATCTTGTCACGTCACTCAATGAGATAAACACGAAGAATGGGATAAACAAATATCATCTGTGTATTACGTCAATGTACGTTCTTAATTGGAACTCTTACCATTGTTTTCTCTTGGTCAACAACCATTTTGCCAATATAAATGTCCCTCATCATCATATACCCCTGATGAAGCCTCGGTATAATATATATGTCGAATCTATTTGTAAAATTTAAGCCAGAATTTATTGTTCTGAGAAATTGTATTTTGTATTTAGTATTGCAACTGCGTTTTATGATGGTTATTGTTGGCAGCAATTTATTGAGGCGCTCATAAAAGGTCAAATGCTCGCTTTGCCTTTGGTGATACTCCCACCTGTGTGCGATTGTGTTGAGGTGATGCCCCACATAAAGATCTTTCTACCTGTTTCCATCGCGCCTACTCCCGGATTCAAGTCTGTACATGCGAAAGTGCCTCATCCAAGCAAGACAAAATTGCTGCGACATATTCTTTAGCATTGTAACATATATTTGACCCATTGTATGGCCTTATATGATATTAAACCTTACTTATTCGAGGAATTGGTTAATTTTACATTGATTGTGTGTGGTTATTGACTGATTTCACAATCAAGTTCTGTCTGCACCGATTTCGTGGTTAGTTTCAATTCGGGGAATGATCATGTAACAGCTATGGAGAAGTGAGGTGAGTTGAATGGGCTTGAACCTCGTGTGTTAATGTGTTTAACATGGAGACCCAACTGAGAGATAGTATACTGACTGCGAGCCGACCAGTCCTGGTGAAAGTCCATTGTAGCTAAAATGGATAGAATTATCATTAAACCGCCCTCTTTTTATCAGAAATGATCTGGCCACTTTAACTAGATAATGCCCACATATTGCTTGACGACGGGCCATTATCACTCCCGTTGTTATGCGAGGTCATATTGAATTTCAATAGTGACGTCATCTGGTTTTTTCAATGACGTTTCCATATTTGTAAAAGTGGCTTTCGTTCTTTGTTGATTGCAGAAACTGTTTCAAAACCGATATTGTTTTTTTTTATTCTTTGAACATAAATGCTATCCATTTTAGCAATAATAACGGTAACGCTATTTTTCAGGGCATTATCATTTGCAAAAGCCCTCGGTCTTTTCAACTGCATTCCTTCGCCGGGCAGTTAATGGAAGACCACGGGCTTCTGCAAATGATAATGCCCTAAAAAATAGCGTTGCCCTGATATTAATGCCGCGGGTGAGACATCCCATCTCTTAAGGTATTTTGGTTTGACGCGGCCATGGGGCAACAGTTAAGGTCGTGTGTATGCTTGCACTATTATCTGTTGTTATGAACTTCATAACCTTGAATGAAATGTGATGACCAGAATAGAACAAAATAAAGAATGTAAACTAAACACTAAGTATACCACAGGGCACTTTCGTTTTTCAGAATAGATACAAGTCTGACTGCTTTTTTATGTCGTTTTGTAATCATTTTATTCGTGGCTACGTGAGAGCTACTTTGTTTCCAACATATGTGCCAGGTTTAAATGTCTATTAATAAGTACTGACTTAAATAATTGTAATACTGCTGGTCAAACGAGCACATTGTGTTGGGGCGTTAAGCTTTTGATGTAAACATATGTTGACCTCTTTTACAGCGGTGTTCTATGAACAAAAGCCAGTATTATAATACAATAACGAGTAGAGTTCCTCACCTGCAGTGATTAAGGGAATGGATTTGGTTTAAGGTCAGTTACATAACGGCGTGTCAGCTTGGTATGGTAGGAAAGCCCGATTTGATGCAGGTCTTAGACGTTGTCCATTCAGCAGGATATATATTCATTTAACAGTAGCTACATTTATACATTCGGGAACACAAACACCGATATAAGGTTTGAAAACAGTTTTATTGTCAAACAATCCGTGCACACGGGGCACAGGGATGTCAAAATATCAGTGTGCATCTACTGACAAGTCATCCTGTTCATGTATCCAGGCATACAGCGGAGGGATGCACAGCATCTCATGGCACCTATGCCGTTAATCATGCATTCGTCGTTACGGAGACGACACTGTAAAATATAGAAGAATTCATTTACACCTCTACATGAAATGTATCATCTACGTACATCAATAGCACATTGCACTGAGTATCACAAATCACATTTCGTTTGATACGACAGGCATGAGCTGATAGTCAAAATAATCATGTTTAAAAATAGAAGAAGCATTGGAAAGCCCATGAAACGATGCTTTTGAAAGAACTATGGTAACTACATTGTACATGTATGCTATCGAGCATGTAGTGGAATTGCTAAATTTTGTTGGACGTATGTTATGTTAGTGGAAATGATACATATACTAATTTGCATCCAATCACATGTAAAGAGAGTAATACATGTTGAATATTCCACCAATATTCTTTCAGTCCAGACCACTTGTCATCATTCAAAATCTCTAATGTCTTATCCCATGGCAGAAGTCAATGTCTGGCACGTTTACTTACCCCCATACCGCCGCCAATACCGCCGCCAATACCGCCACCAATACCGCCGCCAATGTTCCTCTTGCATATTTGAATGTTACCCAAACCTGACTGACACGTCAAGCCATTGCAGCAGGTGTTACCATTCATCCAATTGCATGTTTGCCCCTCGTTCTGACACTGCATGAACAGATGAAGTAAGTTTTGCATTTGTAGCGTGTAACTCAACAATATGTCACATTCGTTGCTACTATTTATAATTCAGCAACTCTGTTAAACTATGGACATATTAACAGTGCTAGGATAAACATTCTATTAATATTTCTCCTTTTACCTTTCACGACAAATACAGCAAATCATGGGGCATATTTATGCAGAATAAGTATCATTGCCGAATTGTGATGTATGCCAATAATCACATGGGCAAATGACAAAAGTAATGACATTAATATTCAGGGGACATGATTGTAAATAAACATTTGAATATGATTTATAACAGAACAAGGGATTGCTGGATCACGATATTGGACTATCTTATTTATGAACCATGGAGCATAAGACGTGATGTGGTATATGACTTTCGGTTCCTTTTGTCTTTTAAAACATGAAGGAAATTTAAAAGAATCAACTGATTGCAAAAGCAGCTTTTGATCACATATGTCCTCACGGAGAGATAGTATACATGTATCATAAATGAAGATTAAGTTATATGACAGCACTTACCCCAAACCCTGCTGCAAAGAGGTCTAGACCCAGTACTGATACCACAAACAGCAAAGCAAGACACACTTTGAACATCATTGTAATGATAGGGTACACCTGGAAGCAAACAGAAGGCGATACATTTGAAATCCTAATACTTCTGAAGAATGCTCAGTACTTCATATGTACAACTTTAGTATGGTGTGAACATAGAGGTACTTGTAGTAATTGCACCAATTACTGAAAGACAATGTGAAGATACACAACATATTATCCTCATGATGAACAGTAATGATATATATTGGAACAGGGGTGGTTGTCCCAGTCGCCTAAGGCGCCGCAATTGTGCAGAGTTTGATTCTCTGAGCCGTGCAGAATCGGATTATCGTGGCTTCAAATCACAGATTATGACTTGGTTTTTTTGCACCATGCCCGTGCCTTTGGTTTTCATCAAAGTTGTAAACGTCTAAAGCCTGCATCCCTGCGAGCTTTTATTCACCATTAGGCTGACCCGCCGTGATAAAACTATTTTACTGTACAAAGCGCCGTAAAGTTCAACTCACTCGTTATACATAGATGTACATACCTGTTCAACTGTAAGATCGAATTGAGAACATACTGTGCCCAACAAGTACATGTATTTATACCCGTTGATAGAAAACATTTCCTGAACTGCATATACAGTTATACGCAGAAAATGTGTTGCATTTCATATCACAGATCAGTTGGAACAGTTAATGATCTGACGGCAACATGTGACGTTACTTTGATCAGCTGTAGATGTTGATATGTTATCAAGATTCACATGGCATGTGTCGTTGACGCTTCACTTAGCTTTGCTCTTTGGTCGAATCTGATTGAATATTCACCAAATACATGTTCGTACATTCTTTTCTCATCTTCCGATTATTTTGCAAATGGTCTGTATTATATTTTTTTCAAAGCAATATAGTAATATACCTGTGTTCAAAAAATAAAATCGACAAAAGCCTTTCCATGTTCATACGAATTATCTGTCAAAATATGAGTTGACTAAACGATTCCTACTATGTCGTGAGCATGTGTAAATGAAACGCAATCAAATAGTGATGATACCAGGACTGGTGTTGGCGAAAAGGCAAGTGTATCCTGCCCAACAAAGTGGCACCAGTCACAAAGTTATGCCTCTTGTTGACTGAATCAATAGTCCCCAAATTCACGGTAGTATTCTCATCCTGAAAACTCTGAAGGTTCATCAGATGCCCGTATTTGACGTCGATCGACTCTCACCCTCATTCTTAGGGTATCCTTGTCTGTCTGATGTATCTGATGCATCCAACACATTGTATGGCATAGATCAATATATTTTTGGGAAGTACAATTCATATTTTCACTGAATGTTTTTCTGTCTTTGAATGTAAATGAAATAATTTGAACAACATGAGGGAAAGTACCACAATTAGGTCTGTTACACTTTTGTACTGTTTTACATTATTGTTTTCCTCGTAAGAAGTAAGGCCTAGTAAGAATCCTTTCAAGACGACGGCTCTGTCTTTTACCTTTATAGGTTTATTTATTTGTTTTAGTTCTTTACACTTGTTTAAAGAAAACAGTGTCTCTCGATCATTTCAAAATATTTCCGGGTTTGGGTTATTAAAGATTGTAACAAAAGGGAGAACACTCCCTTTTGGTATATCTTACGCTTTAAGAACAATCACAACGGTTTTGTGATCTAGCCTTGTTTGTGACATCTTCTACTATTTTTCGAGTGTAATGTCTCTCTGAAAGGAAATACCTCAGTTCACTAAGTCAAAATGGCGCAGATTCTACTTACGAAATGAGTAAGGGACACTGTTTTTTGGAATGGGGGTGGGGGTGGGGGTGATTGTCAACCTTATTGTTTGATATTGTAACTATTACATCAAGAAAAGAAAGACTTTCATCGTTCATCTCTAAAGTAAAAGTAAAACTTGGATGGAGCGTCTGTAAAATATCGATCAAACACTGTAAATCTTCTCCACTCTGATAACACACAATGAATCAATCATCTAAAAATATTTTTCATTTATTATGAAATCCCTGTCCAAATGCAAATTCATCAATTTTCTTTATGACATGTTGAATTAACATCCAGGGTTGATTTGTGATGGGTATCATTCCAACTTTTAAAAACAATAATTGTGGTCATTATGGTTGAAGGTCAGATATATTTCAAGATCTATAAGAAAAGCTTGCTGAGAAATGTAAGTTCTCCTTGCATGAATCTAATATCTCACATAAAATCTCTCACAAGATGCATCCTCTTTTGTTTGAAGCATCCTCAAAATGTATTCTTTTGGAGCTTTAAAATTAAACGGTTTCGTGTTAACTTCTTGTAAACGTACCTTAACACAAGTAATGCAGCTATCGAAGAGTTTCCACTACCAAATGCAAGATACTTTGCATTGATATTGTTCCTCCTTATAAATCCACGTTTTAAACTCACTCACTCACTCTTCTATATTCTTATAGTGGACTAAAGAAAACTTTTCGATATTGACGTTCATGTATGTTTTAACTTTGCTGAGACGGTCGGCTAGCCTCATGGTTAAAGCGTTCGCTCGTCACGCCAAAAGACCCGGGTTCGATTCCCGACATAGGTACAATGTGTGAAACCCATTTCTACTGTCCCCCGCCGTGATACTGCTGGAATATTGCTACAAGCGGCGTAAAACCATACTCACTCACTCATTTTAACTTTGCTACCTAAAACTGCCAAATGAACTATAGATCATGCTGCTTTGGGGACATAAATGTCCCTGTATAAGCTAAATATCAACGGAAGAAAACAAATTGTATTTTGCAATCTAGTATAAGGCCGCTTATAAAATCTGAAAATATTTCCAACAGGTACATTCTGTGATGTCTTTTCAAATCGTTATGTATTCGCTCTGTTCCATTTAATTGCCTTGGCTGCCTTCCTCGTTCAGTGTATGACAGGACTAAATGATCATATGTAAAGATAGCTATTTGTGATGAAGATGATTTATCTGTGTAGGTAGGAATCAGATCCTACCGGAGGTTGTGACTGACAGACTGACATCGGATCCAAGATAACAATTGCAACACCTGCTCTGCTCATTTATCATCATTATCTTGCTTTGCGTAAGTGTGGAGTCTCAGTGGTATAAATATGTCAGCTGAGTCAAATAGGCATCTCATTCCTGTTTGTCCGGCTGAACAGGTAACATTATATTTATTGTGAACCCGTTTACACAACAGTTTACAGTACTCCACAAAAATGCATATATTGTTTCACGGGTTAAGTAATTTCCCATATATTTCCCAAGACTTGAGGTAATATGTTGTTTTTCACAAATGTTATAACATACTTAATCTACATGTCTTAAATCTACTTAATCTAGTATGATTTAAACTTAGAATGTCTATGAAGGTTTATATATAGATTATGTGCTTGAAATTTAAACCCAATATAATTTGAATGTGTGACATTGCATCACAGATGACTACAATGAATTTCTTTTCAGTTTTACTCAATCACAATGATGCTGAAAGTGTGCGTTGGTCTAATCCTCGTAGCATCCGCTCTAATTCAAGATTCGCATGGCTTTGTAAGTCTTAAATAATTCCATACTGACTGTTTAATCCACGAACAGTTTAACCATTTATTCTTATTAGAATTCAATGTCTGAAACATCACTATCATTAGTAATGTCGAGTAGGATGGGTTGGAAGCCGCTTGGAGTTATGTAGTTACGGTGTAGTTACGGTGTATATTACAGCTTGTCTGCTTGATGTGTGACGAAGGTACGATTGCATACCCAAGAAATATACCATTTTGTTGAGAACCTACGTGCACGGGTATGGTGTTGATTAACAAAGAGTCATAAGTGTCGGGATGTATCTGGAATTCCACGATCATAGGTTTGTGGCATGGCTAAGGGACTCAATTCTGCACAGCGAATTGCGGCTTCTCAACATAGCAGGACCACCGTGACCCCTGCTTTCTATTAACAAGTAATAAACCGTTTCGTTTAATAGCGCTTTCCATAATCGTGTTTACAGGGTTTTTGGCTTTCGGTTTAAATTACGTTTATACATTTTGCTGTTGTGATGGGCATGACATATTATCATATGACGTCTTTTTTTAGGCTTATTCACACTAACACGACATATGGTTTGGGGCCATAATATAAGAGGTATTCTATTTTACAGTGCCAGACAGAGGGACAAACTTGCAATGTGATGAATGGTAAAACATGCTGTAATGGCCTGATGTGTGAGTCTGGCATAGGAAACACAAGAATATGCAAGAGAAGCGCCGGCAGTGGTGCTGGGGTAAGTGAATAACAAGAATCTAACGATTACAACTGTACGCAACCCGTAAGAAGCAAGTATTGTCTTTTAGGTGTTGGGAGAAAACCGGAATCCGTATAATGTCCCAGTCTTACCTGAATTTTCATTGTACGAGTATGGTACATTCCTCCAGACTGTAACTT